GTATTTACTTATTAGTAAAGAAGTTTATACATTTTATAAAATACAAACGTTTGATGACTTTAGATTTTATGCACCATTTGCTAGAGTCAGAAGATGTAGCATTTACCAATCCTTCAAGTATTTCTTACCAACTACAATCAAGAATTCGTTATAATGCTCTTACGAAGGAAAAACAAATTCGGATGAATACATCCTTAGCCTTAACTCCTTTTTGCTTTCATATCCTCTTGCGAAGCATCGATATCAATCACAGCTCTTAAAGGCTTTTGACCGTAAATGATAATTTTATAACTAAGTTAAATAAATGTGCATTTTATTTTGGATCTAAGAAAAAAATCAATTTATAAGAAAAATTAAGAATATATGTAATACGATAAAGAATTTAAATTAATAAAAATTTTATGCTTGATTTTAATATATTTAAAATTATTTATTTTTTAAAGTGTTTCATTTCTTTTGAAATAATATTATTATAAATTTAATAAAATAAATTAGAAAATAAAAAAAATAATTAGAAAATATAGAAAAGTTATTGAAAGTGAAAATAAATTTATTAGAAAATAATATAAATGTTAAAAAAAACTTAGAAGATAATAAAGTAGATAAATGATTCTTTTATTTATTTTTATTTTCTTTATACAGTGACAATCAAAAATAATACAATAACATTAAAATTTATTAATTAAACATAGTAAAATATGGATTTTTCTCTTTATATAAAAGTTTTCAATTTTACTAATAAATATTTTTTATTTTTATATTAAATTAAAAATAATATCACATATTTTATTAAAATTTTTTAGGGTTCCGAAAATTGAAATCAAATAGGTTCACATATTAATAAAAAATATAAATAAGTTATAACTTAATAAATTTTATATTAAATCAGAACTAAATAGAATTGAAAACCAAATTATTAGAATCCTTAATTTAATCTGATCAAGTTATTCTAATTGCATATAAAATCAATTATTTTTTTATAATTAAACATATAAAAAATAATTGATTTTATATGCAATTAGAACAATTTAATCAGATTAAATCTAAAAAATCTGAAAAAAATATATGTTAAAATATATAATATTATCTTTATATTAATTAAAAATAAAAAATATATATTAGTAAAATTAAAAATTTTTATATAAAAAGAAAAATTCACATTTTATTATTTAATTAATAAATTTAATATTATTGTATTATTTTTGATTGTTATTATATATAATAGCTAATAAAATTATAAAAATTAAATATTTATCTTATATAAAAGTTTAATAAATATTTTTTGTTTTTATATCAAAACAAAAAATTATAAATTATATTTTAATATATATTTTTTTTGTATTTTTTAGATTTTTTTCTAATAAAGTTATTACAAAAATTTTTTATAATTAAAATATAAAATTAATTATAAAATTTTTGCAATAATTTTATAATTAAAATAATTTTATCAGAAAAAATCTAAAAAATAAAAATATATATATTAATTAATATAAAAATAAAAAATATTTATTACTATAATTCTGTTAGCTATTATATATCTCTTTATAATAATCTAAAAGTATAATAAAATATAATAAAAATTAAAATTTTTATTTTTGTTTATAAATATTTTTTGTTTTATATCAAATTAAAAGTTTGTATTTTAACATATAATAACTAACAAAATTATGAAATTATATGTATAATTTTATTAATAAAAATTAAAATTGTTGTTTTATATAAAAGTTTTTAATTTTATTAATAAATATTTTTATTTTTATATCAAAATAAAAATTATAAGTTGTAATTTAACATATATTTTCTAGATTTTTTTGACAAAGTTGTTTTAATTACAAAGTTATTACAAAAATTTTTTATAATTAAAATGTAAAATTAATTATAAAAAATTTTTGCAATAAATTTGCAATTAGAATAACTTTATCAAAAAAATTCAGAAAAAATATATGTTAAATTATAACTTATAATTTTTATTTTGATATAAAAATAAAAAATATTTATTATTAAATTAAAAACTTTTATATAAGACAAAAATTTTAATTTTTACTATATTTTACTAATAAAATCACATGCATGATTCCACAATTCTGTTAATTACTATATATTTTTTATAAATATTTAATTATAAAGTTGATTATACAAACTTTTTATAATTAAAAATTTAAATTTACTAAATTTTAATTATAAAAAGTTTGTATAATTAACTTTATAATTTAAAATATTTTTGAAATTAAATTTATAATAATCTATAAAAAATATATTAAAATACAGAGTTTTAGCTTTATTTTGATATAAAACAAAAAATATTTATGAACAAAAATAAAAATTTTATTATAGAAAGATAATTTCAATTTTACTATATTTACTAGAAATGTGTAATATATATATTTATATTTAGAATTTTTTTATAATAATAATTTTGAAATTAAGTTTTAATTTTAAATAATATTTAATTATATTTAATTTTTTAATTTAATAAACTAATTCTAAATCAAAAAATGAAGTATTAAATTTTTGAATAAACATTTCTTTTTTGTAATTAATTTCTTTATATAAATAAAACAATTTAATGTTTTTAAAAACATTAAAAAAATTGTTACAAAAATTGCATGTTTTTATTGTAGATTCATGAAAAAAAAAACGTGATAATGAAAAAACATACAAAAGATGTTTAAAAAAAATATAATTTGTATTAATAATGTACAAATCAAATAAATTTATCAAATTTACAAGATGGAATATTATTTTTAATGCGAGAATACTCAAAAATCAAGAGAAAACATTTATCTAAAAGAAAAATTAAAAAAGTCGGCAGTAAAAAATTAATTATAAAATAACATAATAAAGTTAATATCTTTTAAAATTTATATTAGTTATAAATCATAATTTAGATGATTATTTTGTTTTTTTTTTATAGTTATTTTCTATTATAAAATAAAAAAAAGTAATTTTTAAAAAATAAAATAACAAATCGACGCCGAACACCAGTGTTAAATTAACCAATCGGATCGCAGGATCAAAAAATTTAAACAATCAAATCACAGGATCAACGTGTAACGAAAAAATTCAAAGCGATAACGAATTTTTGAAAACTCAAAATTCTGCTTATGCAATTGCTTTGCCTCATCCCAAACCCTAATCCAGACTAATAAATTTTTGATTTTTTTTTGTGGTGTTTTACATCACTGGTGTGATTTATAATTTTTTGATAAACATTATTAATTGTGACAGATTAAAACGAAACCAGATTAAAATGAAATCAGATTATAATAAAATCAATCAAAAGAAAATTTGGTTCTTTTTTTATGGGAGAGAAGGGTTAGGGTTAGGGTTAGGTTAGAGCATAACATTAAAATCTGTCCCACTCTATTTCGTTTTAATACGGTTTCATTTTAATCCGCCACATTAATTATCAATCGATAATTGATCTTGTTTTATTTACATCATGTAATTTTAAATTAAATTAATTGATCAAATTTGTTCATAAACGAAATATAAAACAAAAAAACCACAAAAAATATCTAAAATATTTCTATTTGTAATCTTGATCAAACGAAATATATAATTAATATATAACTTAAAGAATAGTTCTTCTTCAATCGAACCTTAGTGTAACACGTCTTTCATTATCCTTTACATTTATTAATCGACCAATGTTAAAGGTTTGGACGTCAAAATTTTGAAGCAGTCTAGTCGTCTCTTCAATATTCTCTGGGGATACAACAAGTACCATTCCAATACCACAATTAAATGTCCTGAATAGTTCATCTATTACAATTTATTCATTGTTAAGAGAAGCAAAGGACAAATTATCGCAATAAAAAGTCTGAAATAATTACCATATGGAATATTTCCGTATTGCGCCATCCATTTAAAAACCTCAGGTAAGGTCCATTTACTCGTATCTATAATAGCACCAATATTATCAGGCAAAACTCGGGGAATATTATCTACAAATCCACCTCCGGTAATATGAGCCATTGCTTTCACAAGTCCTTTCTTAATAACAGGAAGCAATTGTCTTACGTAGATTCTCGTCGGAGTAAGTAGACTTTCACCCAAAGTTTTTGTTGGATCCCAAGGACACGGAGACATATATTCAAGATTATGTTTATTGATTACTTTACGAATAAGCGAGAATCCATTGGAATGGACACCCGAAGAAGCGAGACCAAGCAGCAGATTATCAGCCTGGATTTCGGAAGTACGTGGAAGAATCCCATCTCGATTAACTGCTCCAACTGCAAATCCGGCCAAATCAAATTCATCTATAAAAAGAATATAAAATGGTTGTTGTTGATTGAAAAATCCGAGTGATCAATCTTTTACTCACCAGCACTATAAACACCCGGCATTTCTGCAGTTTCACCCCCAATTAAAGCGCATTCAGATTGAAGGCATCCTTCTACAACACCCTTTATCACGTCCTTGGCTACATCAATATGTAATTTGCCACAGGCATAATAGTCAAGGAAAAATAATGGTTCTGCGCCTTGTACAAGAAGATCGTTGACACTCATAGCAACCAAATCGATGCCTGAAGAAAAAGATGAGGAAAATGACACCAAATATTAAATATGCAACAAATGAATGATATAAATCTATACACACCGATAGTATCAAATTTATTTATAGCCTGAGCAATCTTCAATTTTGTGCCGACACCATCAGTTGTTGATACTAAAATTGGATCATCATAACCAGCTTCTTTCAAATCAAACAGACCCCCAAACCCACCAATTTCAGATATCAAGCCGCGTCGCTTTGTCGATTTTACCAATGGTTTTATTTGATCTACCAACTTATTTCCAGAGTCTATGGATACTCCAGCAGATTCATAAGTCATCACACGATTATTATTTTCAATTGATTTCTCAGCGAGATATTCGAAGGCTCTATATATAAATTTAGAGAGTTAGATTAATAAAAGCGGATTTTTGCGATTTTGAAGAGTAAATTTTTACTAATTAAACTTCACCGGTGAGCTATATCATTTCTGTAAAACAAGTTTTCGAAATTAATAAGTTTCACTGTTTCATAAACATTATCTACTGCTTCCCTCAGTGTACTTGCAACTCCAGAGACGGCAAGAACTCGACCGCCTGATGTGACAAGTTTATCATTCAGAATACTTGTACCAGCATGAAATATTAACGTATCTATCATGTAAATTAATGGAATAAATCTCACAAAAGTTCAACCAACAAATTAATGTAGTTTTTAGCTTAATATTATATTACCGGGTGCAATATTGTGAATAGTTATTTCTTTTCCTTTTGAGTATTTGCCAGGGTATCCTCCTGCGGCAATTATAACTGTTGCAGCGAAACCAGGCTTTGTAGAGATATGCACAGAATCCAATCTTCCCTCAGTGCAAGCCTTTAATAAAAAAATTAGACAATTTCTTAATTTCTTAAATCAATTCAACAAGTATTTTTATACCAGCATAATTTCGGCGAGATCTGTATCATCGCTTAGTAAGGGTAAAACTGCCTCAGTCTCGGGATCCCCAAAACGAACATTATATTCTAGCACTTTCGGTCCCGATGAAGTAATCATTAAACCTGTAAAGAGCATTCCGACAAATGGAAAGCCTGAAAAGAATTGTATAGCCGAAAAGAAATGTTTTTAGTTAGTATAATTGTACATAACCATTAATGAATAATCTTTCAAATATCCCACCATCTCGTCTCATCCCAGATATAGTGGGCATAAGAATAGTGTTTTTAATTTCTGTGATCAATTCGGGTGTGGCGATGGGAGTTGGACAGTAACAGCCCATGCCACCAGTATTGGGACCCTATAAAGTCAATATAAGAAAATTGTCGCACATTATTTTCGACTTACAATATAAATTATATGTGAAATATGAACCAAATCGCCATCAAAGATACGTTTGTGGTCTTGAGCTGGAGGAAGTGGAATTATTGTATATCCATCTGAGAAACTCAAAACACTCAATTCTTGGCCTTCAAGAAATTCTTCAATGACTACTTCATCACCTGCGAGTTTACTTTATTAGTGACCAGGTGTGCATCCCTGTATTGTAATTTTTTTGCTGTGAACTCCCATCACATCATACCTGCCGATCCAAAAGCTCTATCAACCATTAGTTCTTTCAAAGCTTCGAGAGCTTCTTGTTTATTAGTAGGAATCAATACACCTTTACCACCCGCGAGACCAGAAGCCTAAGGAGTTTTTGAACAATCAATCGGTTGTAAATGTTTAAATTCGATAATATATTCAGGATAGTCACCTTGATTACAATCTTGTGAGATATTGAATTTAGATATGCCTTTGCTTTCTCGTAATCGGAGAAATTCTAGCAGTATTATAGTACAAATTTTAATTAATATGAAATTGGATTGGACATGTAAATATTTCAATCAATTACTTTATATGCAGCTGTTGGAATGTTATGCTTTTTCATGAAATTTTTCGAAAAAGTTTTGGACCCTTCCATCACAGCTGCCTGAGGAGAAGGACCAAAACATGGAATTCCAACTATCAGCAAGTGGATATAATTTTAGTTCGAAACGGTGAATTATATTTATGAAACCAAAGAAAAATACTTGCTTTTTTTAAATACTGATTGTATGCCTTCAACTAATGGCTGTTCGGGCCCAGGAATAACAAAATTTACCTAAACACTCATATAAAATGAAAACTATTAGAATAATACGCGAAATTTGCCGTTGATATGCTTCGAAAAAAATCTCACATGATTGTTCAATGCAAATTCTGTTAATTTGGAAAAATCACTGACTCCAATATTAACATTTGAAACTTTGTTAAGTCTTTTTGCAGTGCCTCCGTTACCTAAGAATAAAAATAAAATATTAGAAAATTGAATATATACGTAAAATGGATCTTTAATTAGATAGCTTACCGGGGCTTACATATATAGTTTCAACGAGTGGCGACTGTGCCAATTTCCAAGCAAGTGCGTGCTCACGTCCCCCAGAGCCAACCAAAAGTATTCTGAGTTTCTCTTAAATAAACAAAATAAAAAATTTTGGCCTTACAAAAATTACAGATATGATGTACATACCCATTATCGAAAGAAATATTTGACCCAGACACTGGACGCGAAAAAAGAGTTTTTTCTATTGATCATCCCCATCGAGATCGACAAAAATTTGTTGGTTGTGAACTGCACATGTAGATCAAAACACGTAAATTGGAGAAAAAGAAACAAATCTATAATTTCTTCATTATATCCAATAAAGCATGAACGTGTCAGTACCTTTAAAGCTCTCAATGTCGGTAATATGTCCTTGGCCAGATATTTGGCCTTGGTGTGGAACCCCTGACTGTAACCTTATATGCGCTTTTTTCGGGACGCGTTCTGCCTACACCTATGATGACAAATATGAAGGAATAATTTTAAAAACAGAAACAAACGAATCGGCTGAAGAATCTGAAGAAAAATTTTGTTATAGCAGTCGTAATTATAACGAGAAAAGACGCGCATTTTGATATAATATCATCGTATTTCCATAAAATAATATATTGTTTCGTTTTTTGTAGAACCCGTAGTTCCTAATTCAAAGCAACAGCTAAAGCAAGACGAAATAATACAGGATTCTCAAAAAAATGGTAATTTCATCATATTATGGAGTGGAGTCAGTTAGAAAGGGACAATTACTCTAATAGATTTGTCCCTTTCTACTGACTCCACCCCATATAATTGCCATGAATTATATTAAAAGAAATAATTATAACAAGAACGGTTTGTGTATGCTTTACAAAACAATAGTATCTAATACCAAAGAATGTCAACTCAATAATCATAAATCTACTCAAATTCCCGAGAAAGTAACGCAACCAGAAACTTCCAAAGCAAATTCTCAAGTTCATCCAAAAATATTGCAATCAGATACTTGTACAACAAATCGCGAAAGAAATCTCAAGGGAAATCATAAAGCCGCACAAGTGTCTCTAAAAGTATTACAATCTGAAACTCTTAAAGCAAACTATGAAAAAGAAGTTAAAGATATTCGTAAATCCGCGCAAAATCCTTCGAAAATATCACAACCTAAAATTTTTACATTAAAACACGGAAATGATGTCAAGGAAAATCGTAAGTTTGTATTTTGATCCCTATATTATGATTCAAGTGAATGATCAAAATCTTTCAACTATTAAATTAATACACATTTGTATCAATCATGCAGATTTCCAAAAAATACCAATCGAACACAATAGTAAAAAAGACGAGGAAACAACAAAAGATACAATCATAATCAAAAAAGACAAAGAAAATTTCTATATTTTAGACGACACCACCGAAAATGATATCGTATTACATGAGCATGATTCACACCATATGATCGCACAGAGAACTACATTCCCTGCCTTGGATAACATCTTTGCACGGAAACGCATTATGCCTCTTAAATCATTTGCCAATAAAGAAGTACAGGCTGGAACTGGATTGTTTGAAACGCATAATCTTGCTTGTCAAACAAGTTTTTCGAGGCATGTTTCAAGTGTTATTATTAATCCGGATTCACATACTGGAGATGAATTTGTACCTGAAGCAATCAATGGGATGCAAACTGAAAGGAAAATTATCGCTAATTCTAATGTCCAAACATCAATTGTTTCAAATAAAAGTGTCGGGGAAATTTTAAATTTGGTAAATCAGATTAAGGAAGACTCAATTGCAAAACCACAAGAAACATCCAATACTATTCCCGAACTTTGCGAAACAAATGAAGTTGGACTTGATGATTATTTTAAAGAATCTGTTGCAGATATCGAAAGCGAGGATAGTAGTATTGAAAACGATAACGATGAAAATCTGATTGAGAGACAAAACGAAGAAAATAATGAAATCAAAGAAGACGAGTTTTCAAATCGAGAACCAATCGTTGAAAATTCGTCATACGCAATTTCGCCGACTGGAAACTTGGAAAATGATACTTCTAAAACGCAAAACAGCAACGAAGCTATCGAAAATGATCAATCAATGGTTTCAAAACATCAAGTTATTGAAGATAATGCACAAGAAGATATCAATGTTAAGAGGCTTACCATGGTTACTTTTGCACCAACTGCGAACTATACATCGGAAAATGATAATATACTTGGTGATGGTTCTGTACAGTCAATTGAAGCAGATCTTTATCATGGCGAAAATAACGAAGATTCTATTCATCTTATGGAAAAATGGATATCTGTCGCTTTATGCAAACAATATCCTAACCCAAAAGATTGGGAATATATTGTTGATTGCGATTTAAGTGAAAAAGGACTTGAATCGGTTTATTCTTTGAGCAATTTCATGCCAAAGCTGGAAACAATATCACTAAATAATAATAATTTGGAATATCTGCATGGATTGCCATCGGTCCTGACTACCTTAAAAGTTGCGTCTAACAAGTAAGTACTAGACGCAAATATGTTTATATACATTTTGACATTTGATCCAAAAAGAATATGGTTTATGTATATATATTTCTGTTGAATACATAGATTAACGTGCATGACAGATTTCAGGCATCTACCCAATTTACAATATTTGGACATTTCAGACAATTTAATTGAAGATCTGAATGGTAAGGATCAATAACCTATTAGTTTACTTAATTTAAATTTATTAATTGATTTATTGCTATGTTAAGATCTTGCAGGCTTAGGAAATCTCCGAGAACTAGTAGCATGCGATAATTTAATTCGGAGTTTTAATGGAGTTTTTTGCTTAAAATCCCTTCAAAGGTTGACTCTGAAAAGAAACAAATTTACTGCAGTCGATTTCACAACGTGTAATCTGTGAGTAAGAAAAAACTATTTTACTATTTTATTCAACTTTGAATATTTAATATTTATTTTTAATTTAATAGACATCTTTTAGAGAATTTGGATCTATCAGAAAATGATATCGAAGAAATTAACGGACTTCATTCATTGAAAACTCTTAAAAGTTTGGATTTGGGTAATTGTTATTTTGATATTTATTACGTATTCCATGTAAGTTTACATAATGCCTTGAAATATTTACTTTCAATAGAACAAAACAATATACGATTATTCAATCCATCTCAAATAATGAATGCTCTTGTGTGTCTAAAAATTGGACGAAATCAATTGGTTGAACTGAATGTGAAACGAATGCCTAATCTTCGAGCCCTCGTTTTGGATCATAACAAACTGAAAGAAATCAAGAATTCAGAGATGCTCGCAAGAATAGCCACCTTCTCAGCACGAAATCAAAAAAGGGATGATAAAATGTAATCTCTAAAAATACATTAATTTTATTACTCAGCACTGTTTTTAAACCTCATCAATTTTCCATTGTTAGCAATATTAACTTTAAGCATATACGAGGAGTCGAAAATCTATATCTAACTGGGAATCCACTTACGAAATTAGAAACAATGACCGAATTCTTTAAGCTTGACCTCATCGAACTCTCCAAAGTTGGACTAAAAGAACTACCAGAAAAGTTTTATGAAATGTGTCCAGGGGTTTCCTACATAAATCTGAATTATAACTACCTCACAAATATTCGTCCTCTTCGAAGACTAGCACACTTAAAGCAATTGACGGTAATTTGCAATGAATTAAGCAATTATGAAATGGTTCTCGAAGTCACCAAACGATTGTCAACGTTGAAGTATTGTGATCTAAGGTACTTGATATACAACTACTAGTTTGATTAGCATGTATTTTTGGTTGTACTAATTATCTTAATAAAATGCAGATGCAATCCATTCACCATGAAATTCTATCCATCACTCGAATCACTGCTCATCGCATACGAATCAAGAAGACATATATGGGATATCACAGAAACTAAAAAATATCAAAAGGAATGGGATATTCGCGACAAAGAGTTCCGAGAAAACATACCAGACGATATATTTGTAAAGAGAAATATTTATCGATTTTCTATAATTCGCCGGTGTCCACATATGATACGATTGGATGGTTCGAACGTTGAAGAGAGTGAAAGGATCGAAGGTGAAAAATGGTATCGAAGATTGCCTGTTGAACTTCCTATCATATATTAAATTATAATTTATTCAAATGTATATTCATTAACTAAGGTAGCTGATTTTATTCTAATAACTAAGTAAAAATGAAATTTATCTGATCTTTAAAGCCCGACTATGAATCAAGGCGTTCTATTTACTTTATACATTGTATAAATTAGTTTACCGCCACATATTCCTTGCTTGTGTAAAAAAATTGAAGAAACACGTACAGTTAAAGTTCGATAAAGCGAACTCACGTTAAAACGAAGAATTTTCAGGAACCAACCTATTAACAAAGAGCTTGATATAACGAAGAATAATATAAATAGTACTTTATAACGTTAAGCGAAGTTTATTTTTGAATAACCGGGGCACAAAAGAATACAGATGACCAAGCTGTTTCTAAAATTAATCACAAGAAATCACGTGTATAAAGTCATTAATATGACAATTATTATTTTTTTACTAATTTTTCTGACGATTTACTTTTATGATGTCGCAACTTCACTACAAGTTTGCAGACAAGCCAGAGTTTGAAGTATTACCGTTTGAAGGATCAGATATCTCAATTATTGCTGCAAAGGAAAACATTATAAAGGCTTTAGATCTGAAAGAAGCAGACATTGTTCTATCACAGGCAGATACAGGCGAAGGTACATTTTCTTTATCAAGAGTCGTTTTGGCTGGTATACCTGAAATCTTTCAGCTCAAGAATAAATTTTCTAATTGAACTTTCGATTCTTCAAATTTACTTTAGAGTATACTGACAATAAGTTAATACCCTCAAACACAAGAATAATTATAAAGCACGCGGCAACGAAACCGGTGAGTGGCTTAGACCCACCAGTATCCAGCCTGCCATTGAAATCGTCTGGAGATCCAAATACTAATACGACTAAAGGGTGTGTATCTTTTTAGGATTAAGATCTTTTGTTGCAAAATCAACTACGGAAACTTTTTAAGATATCTAAGCTTTTTTTGTCTTGTGCAGTTTCCCAAAACAGCAGCAACAAGCAGAACAGATCACCGGGGTTGACATAATTACCTCTAATCCTAACATACAGTCGGAAGATGATGCGATCAAAACAATGTTTCAGCAACAAGCCATTTTTTGGGATGCTGCGCAAAATAAATCTATAAAGTAAGTTTATTGGTGTCTTTAAAAAATCTTTTCTTATTTTTTTTTTGTTAAGTATTACTTCTCTTCTTCTAGAACATCACCTTCGGAAGTACCTCCTGAACGTACAAATGGCAGTCAATCTATTGCATCTTCATCTGCTATACCTAAACAATATCCGCGTCCCAGTGAAGTTATTTTAAGAAAGAAATCTATAGGACAACCCTCTTGGAATGTGCAGAATGGTAAATGAAGTTTATTGATTATGTTAATTGATTAGATAAAATCCAAAAAAATACTCATAATATTGTTGAAATTTAGGACAAGCAAATGGATTTCCCACACAAGAAATCCCATCCTTTAGTTCCACGACCTCGGTCCATCCCAGCATGTATGTACATAATTTCTATTATCCAATTTGGTCTGTGTGTCTATTTTGAAATAAAACGGACAATAACTGATGCATAAATATTCTTAGTGCTCAATCCCAAGTATTTCGCGAGCGTCCCAATCTTTCCGTATCTACTTCCACCGAATCACTTCAAATTCCACAAGAACTTCAATGTGGAATATGCAAGAGGCTCGTAAAAGAAGCTGAATCGACACCTTGTTGTCGTGCCATCTATTGCCGGCAATGTATGTATTATTATTGTTATCTACAAGGAATATCAACACCTTGTCTAGAATTCGATTATATCAAGAACAAGAACAGTAGGAATTTCAGAATAGGGCAAATTCGATATTTTTTTAATATTGGGAAAGATTTCATTTGTTTGCGATTAATTTTTTCGAGATTTGAACAAATTCATCGCACAATAAACATTTTCCCTGTTTCATCTTTTTCAAACTTCTTTTTTAACCTCAACTTCCTCGAGGATATTTTGCCCCACTTATTTTTCATTGGTTAAATGAAAGTGCATAATCCGGATATACTAGCAACCAATTAACTATATCTGCGAATCTAGCTACGTCCAAAGCAAGCATCACCAGTAATGAATGGGTGGGCCGTATGTTGGCTAGTCGAGCAGCGTTAACTTGCATATACATACATAGACTTGCGTATATAATTTTGAGTCCTCCAAACTAACCGCATTATGGATAGCTTTTCTATCGCCATAATTCATTTTCTTTTGAATTCATTTTAGGTCATTTCCACTAACAAAGATATATATTGCCTTTTAACTTTTGAAAAAATTTGGCGATACAAATGGATCTGTTAATATACAGGTATTCAAGAAACGTTGATAAGAAACGGATTCAAGTGTCCTGAATGCAGAAAACAATTGATGACGGGTGATTTGGAAGAGGATACGAGAACACGAGAGGCAGTAAGGAAATATAAAGAAGACGGTGGTGTACTGCCTCAGACTCAGAATCAAAGTCTCCAAGCACAAAGTGCCAGAGATCAAAGTGATCGAGAAGGGGCAGATGTCTCAATGTCAGACGATTCAAAACAAAAGGCTGATAAAACGGACATTCAAAATGTCCAAGTTTCACGTGTTGATAATATTAATACACCTGTCAGTCCAAGAACTTCTAAAGATAGTCAAACAGAGGTAGAAGAATCCTCACAATAGAATTTCGAGTTTACGCTGCTTGATTTCTCGATCATTAATTTTCTTCATACTCCAGATTACTAATCCTTGAATATCCGAATTCCCATGCATGAACAATATATACTCACAGGGAACATCGCAGGACAAACCTTCGGGATTGCTTCCAAAATTACCTAATAATACAACAAATTTGAGACCTCCAATACAGGGGGCAAGGTTGCCAGATCAACTACGTCAATCTCAAGCGACAAAATCTCAATATCCTCAATATCCACAAATGCCTACGGATAATTTTGCTTGGAATTCTAATGGGAAGTCTTTCGGCGTGGATCCTAGATTTCAAGGCTATGGTCAATATGAAGACGATTATTATGGGGATTACAGTAATGCATATGGATATAATCAAAATCCAGATTATTGGTTAAATGAAGGTAAGAAGAAATCGGACAGAAATTTAACTTTATTGTATCTGTATTACTCAATCAAAATTTATCTGATCTTACTATTTGATACATAGGAAATTCATATTCATTCTATCCCCCATATTTCGATCAATACTATTATCCAAACCAGGAATTCCTGCCAAATCCAGCATTGTATCACAATTTTCCACAAATGTATTCTGACTGGAATGCACCATCACCTCAATTCCCTAATGTCTCTCCTCCTTTTGGTAGCATGGGTGCTAATGTAAATATGGGTCGTGGCGGGGGACCTGTACCTTTCAGGGGCCGTGGTAGCCCCACTAGTAATTTTGGAAGCTTTAGCGGTACAACTCGTCCTATTAATCGTAGAGGGCGCAACCGTGTTAGAGGCTATCAGACGTTCAATGACCGTCCGTTTGATCCTGGATTTGCAAGCGGTGAGAAGCGTAAGGAAAATGAGGAAATGATGTCATATAGTCGAAGAGAAGGGTAAATTATAGTGTTAAGCTATTTTGCTTTTTTATTCACGCATTTCTTTTTTTTGCTTATCAAATGAACAATTTATTACAGGCAAGAGGTAACAACAGTCTATCGTCAAGAAGGGACTAAAGACGAACAAGTTGATGATTTCGGTCGTGACATTGCCAGAAGAATGTCATCTACATCGCGGCCTATGAGCAGGAATGAAACCAGTATTCCCAAATCACCTTCCCATTATTCAGATCTGGATAGGCGACGTGATGGATCAAGAGGAGAAAGTAAAGAAAAAAGGAGCCGTGAAAGGTCATCACACAGAAGTTCGCGCCATTCTCATCCACATTCTCACCATTCAGCAAGGCGATCGCCGAATAGGCACGGGCGTTTACCAAATGATCGGAGAAGATCACGTTCACGCTCACATTCACGGCGTAGAAGTCCTAATTATAATCCAGATCAGTACCACAAAGATGATCGACGTCAAAGAATTAGTGATAACCAAGAATCTTATTATAATATGCGTCTTGATAGTGACTTGTTAGTGCCTAGTGATGTTGTTGAAAAACAAGATAATTCAAATAAAAGCCGTCGGTCGCGATCAGCATCTCCTCGAATGCAAATGGACGATCGTGTTCCACAAATAGATAATGATGATAGGCGAGATTCACCGATTCAAATTGAAGAAGAATTAGATGATAATCAACGTCGGGCTCGTTCATCGACACCAAGACCATTGACTGGTATGTCAATCGAACATGAATCCAAGGAAGAAATTGAACGCAAGGTGGAAACCGTCGTAAACCTAAGAGAATCGCAGTCTCCCGAAGAAGACGTATCATCGGTTCGTGGTGAAAATGAAACTCCTTATCATGGTGAGGATATCACTAATGATGACTATGAGGATCGTGAAATCGATTCACAATACAGATCTTCTGAATTTGATCATCCAATAAAAAATAAAAACTCGCCAAATTACCATCGAACACATAATAGCAGGAGATCTGAACGTCATCGATCCTCTCATCATGGAGGACATAGCTCGTCAGAACACGAGGAATATCATTCGCAATCCAGGCATGGTATCTTATCAAAGGACCGCCATGAAGAACACATCTCTTCAGGTCGTCATTATGATGATCCACATAGATCATCTCATGCCCGACACCATTCCATAGAACGTGAAGAACGACATTCTCAATCCAGACACAAAGATCTATCAAGACATCGCCACGAAGAGCATGTGTCGACAAGTCGTCGATACGAGGAATCACATCGACTATCTCATCATAGGCACGCATCTTCAGAACAAGAAGATCGACCTTCACAATCTAAGCATGGACATACTTCTTCCAAACACCGTCATGAAGAACGTTCTTCTAGAGAGCATCGAAATTCAATACATCGTGATGCACACACGTCCTTGCGGCATTCCCACGAAACACGCGCTGCTTCCCGAGATCATGTTGGACACAGGGCATCAAGTCGTCATCGTGATGGACACACTTCATCTTCACGAGATCATCGAGAGGCACGCAATTCTAGGAGTAAGCGCTCTTCATCAAAGCATCGACAAAGTAAAAGCCGCCACGAACGACATTCATCTGTTGAGCGGGACGGGAAAAAAAGACGAAATTACAGGAGCACTTCCAGGGACGTTGATGATTATTCTCGGAAACGTTCTCGAATATAACTTTTACCTTTACACTCAGAACAGCTAAAGTTAGTCGTTAGCAGCTTCCATTATGATTTTCAATTTCAAAATCGATATAAAAAATGCGAAAAATCAATGTACAAACTTACGTATCTGAATTGGAAGATTCCGGTATAAACTCTAATTTTAATGTATTAACTTAGTAATTTTTAATTTTATAATAAGAGATTTGTTTACTCTGCCTATTCAAAGTCCTGATAAAATGGTGGTTGTCAGAATATAGAAATATTACATTTTGACAAATTGATTGATTCTTACATCTTTGTACAAGAAAAAAATTAGACATCATTTTTAAGTATTCAAAGCAGATTAGCTTAACAGATATAGTAATCACAGAGATATAATTATAAACAAATATTATTATAAAGAATTATTGATTTTTTTAATTGGATAATTATAATAATGAGTAGATTTTAGCTACTTTTATAACGAAGTATAATTAAAATCTCGATATAATTTTCCAATAATTTGGTACATGTAATTCGTTATAAAAAGTATAGTAAATCTTGAAAAAAAAATTTACTAATAGTCCGGACCACCTTCGTTTTGGCTGTCGGGGTGTACCGTAGAACACTGACTATAGTACCCGGGGTACTTTACAAAAACCCGGGTACAAAGCATATCGGGATCCAGCGTTGTCACTTTACCACTGGACTGGACTTATAAAATTACTAAGCCCAGTGGTCCAGTTGCACAGAATTGGATTGACACTGCGAAAAAAGTGTCAGATCATGTGATATTTGTGTATGTCCGGAAAAATTATACAGTAGGATTAGATTCTACCAGGAGGCACTACACTTTTACAGATCCAGAAAATCCGACCCATACTACCGATGATCATCATCGGTCGGAATTGTATAATTACACATTAATATTAATAACGATATAATAACGGTAAACTTTATTTTGCTTTTTGTTCTTTTTGTGATATTTCTGTTTCCTTTGTTCTACATATTTATCTTTAGTTAGTCGTCGCCAACATTGCTGTTTCGTCTCTCTTCTCGTTTAGCGTTATTCTCAATTATTATTCATTTTTCTTTATATTTTCTCTAGGTCGTGGTTATTGACTTCTGTATTTTTATTTTGTAGGTGGTTTTTATTTTTCGGTTTTTTTTGTTCTTTTTTATTTTTGCTTGCACGCAATATTGAGCCAAAGGCAACCAACGCAAGCAACGTGAATATCAAAGGCAACCAACGTGGACACCAAAGGCAACCAAGGCAATCAACGTGGACACCAAAGGCAATCAACGCAAGCAACGTGAATGCCAAAGGCAACCAACGCAAGCAACGTGAATGCCAAAGGCAACCAACGTGGACACCAACATGGACACCAAAGGCAAGCAAACGTGAATATCAAAGGCAACCAATGTGGATGCCAAAGGCAACCAAGGCAACCAACGTGAAAATCAAAGGCAACCAACGCAAGCAACGTGGATGCCAAAGGCAACCAACGTGAAAACCAAAGGCAACCAACGCAAGCAATGTGGATGCCAAAGCAAATGTGGATACCAAAGGCAACCAACGCAAGCAATGTGGATGCCAAAGCAAACGTGGATACCAAAGGCAACCAACACAAATAATGTGGATGCCAAAGGCAAGCAAATGTGAATACCAAAGGCAACCAATGTGGATGCCAAAGGCAATCAACGTGGACACCAAAGGCAACCAATGTGAACACCAAAGGCAACCAACGTGGATGCCAAAGGCAACCAACACAAGTAATATGGACACCAAAGGCAACCAACGTGGAAACCAAAGGCAACCAACACAAGCAACGTGGATGTCAAAGGCAACCAACACAAGTAATATGGACACCAAAGGCAACCAACGTGGAAACCAAAGGCAACCAAGGCAATCAACGTGGACACCAAAGGCAATCAACGCAAGCAACGTGGATACCAAAGGCAACCAACGCAAGCAATGTGGATGCCAAAGGCAAGCAAACGTGAATACCAAAGGCAATCAATGTGAACACCAAAGACAACCAACGCAAGCAACGTGGATACCAAAGGCAACCAACATGGATACCAAAGACAACTAATGCAAGCAACGTGGATGTCAAAGGCAACCAACTTGGATACCAAAGGCAATCAAGCAACGTGGATGCCAAAGATTGTTAGTACCAATTGTCACGAGACTTATATGTATATATGTGATTTAACGTGTGTCAACACGTCAAAAATTATTCTTTACGATGCAAGTTTGCAAACGATGCAGGTGCAAGCATAACGAAGTTGAATTTATTTGGAACAATCAATTTCATTTAACTTGCAAGCAGTGTAAATTATCACTGCAAAAAAATAAAGAAAATAAATCTCCAGTAATTTCTTCCACGTCTCACTTTACTTCCTCCCAAAACACACAATCCTATTCACCATTTACAAGTATTAATAATGATAATGATATAAACGATATTCATATTGGATTTTTGGACCTTTCAGATTATATTTATAATTGTATCGCGAACATTATTGAAAACGAAAAAGCAGAAAAAGATCAAA